TGAGTGAGCGAGTGAGCGAGTGAGTGAGTGAGCATTATGAGCATTAGGAAGCAGAAGGCTCAGCTGAGCAAGAAAACAATAATCAATGATAAGTCTGCTACCTCAAGTTCCTGCTATCAATTGAACATTTACTCCTAGCCACTCAAATACTCTGGACAATCCCCAGGACTGATTTAATCATATCACGGGTAGAAGTCACTTCATCTTATCCAACAGTGCATGCTTAACCCTACCCAAGACCATTCACTTGTCTCCCAACAGACAAGTGTTTCATCATATTTCACGGGGCAAGTGATACTAACTACAGTGGCCTCAGCCCCATGCCACTGAACCTTCATCGATCACGTCGTGTCTAGTTACCTCACCCCCAAATGTTTTGAATTTTCTAGGACACGGTCGCATTTTTAGAGTCAGTTGCAGGTCTTCATGACCCGCGAGAACTTCCATAGGGCTCATCTATTACAGATGTAGACCAATGATTTGAAGGAAGTCCTGCTGTTGCAACATAAGAATCACCAACATTTTCAGGTCATTGCTTTAGAGTTTATCTCTATGGTGATGATAACGAGTGTCTACAAGACCTCGGGGGCTACAAGTTTCTCAATGTTGATCTGTATGATCATGCAATAACAACCAGAGTGACATCTATTCAGATGCTTCATAACAATTAGTTGGAAGTCCTATTAGAGCTTTAATGTTTCTATAATTTTATATAGGCCACACATCAGTGTTTACATTGATGTTGTGATAACGGAACACGTCAGTGTTTCCGGTTTTATCCATTTAACTTTCGGTTTGTTTTTTTTTTCTGTTTTATTTCCCAGTTCGAATAAAAGAATAAAGGCATGATTCCCCGATTCATCGGATCATCATGAGGGGGAGAGTGGTCCACATGCTGTTAACTCTCAAAAATCATTCTCGAATACTTCTCCTCCAACACAAAAAACGATGACTCTCTACTCTCTCAAATCATCAAAACTGCCAAGTCAGCTTCACATCAAATGGTCAGCTACACTCACAAGTCGATCATCATTTTCCGTTGTGCAACCGACTGGTTCTCCTCCAAAACATTCACCTCAAACAGTCAAAAATACTACATTGTTGAGGAGACGGAGGTTGGATAATCAAATTTTGAAGATGAATCCAATGTGCGTCTGCAATTCTTCAAGAACATTCATTCTAGAGGCGCCTTTGGATTTGCAGTCAAGCTGATCAAGAGCTACTTCTGGAAGGCAAGGGTTACAAGCAAGATTTTCAATATTCCTCAACCCCTGGCATCAAAGATCAAATTGCCAAGAAGACATCAAAGGGGAGATTGCAAGGATTTCTTCAGAAAGCCTTCTTTAGAAGTCGGGTTCAACACGAAGACATAGCAAGCTGAGTTGCACTGAACACCAAGATAAAAGAGGAGTAACTCAACAGATTTTATCTACATTTTCCTCTACATTGCTGAATAAACACAAAGACAAAGATACCCGCGCTGCAATGCTGGTTGAACACGATTGAACACCAGGGGAAGATTGTTGGGAATATTTTATGGTGTCCAATCTAATTAAATATCTTTGTATTTGTGTAGTTATTAATTAAATGGGTAATATGGGCCACAAATGTGTATCAGCCCATTAGCTTCTTTGTAATCCATAAGTTAGCCATCCTCTCCTATAAAAGGAAGCTAACTTATGGAAAACCCTAAGGGTTTAGAGTATAGAGGCGAGATAGAGAGATTAGGTTTTACGCTGCTCTCTCTCTCTCTCGAGGGAGAGCAGCGGCCTGTACACGATATACCAGATTCGTCGATTATTTTGATATCCTTCTATTTGCTTCTTCTTCACTGTCTATGATTGTTAGATTGTTAGAAACTTGGTCTATCACCAAGTTTCCATTTAGCCTAGTCATCCCACTACTATATACTTGGCTTGACATCTTTGGAATACACACAATAATACACAATAGTTTATTCATATACTTGTCTTCACTGTCCATCACAATTAATTACTTAGATTAAAGGTATTGTGAGAAGGAAACTACTGTTTAGTCCTATATATAGGGAAGATTAGAGATTGACTTATATTTAGATAAAAGTTGTATGTTTTACTCCTATTAAAGGCAATTAGTTGTTAATAACACTTGTTGCGCTAGCAAACGTGACAACAGTTCCGCACTTTCCGCCTACTTGTCGTTAGAGATGGCAATTCTGACCGACCCGTTGGATACCCACACCGAACCGATTTGGTCAAAATGGGGAAACCGGTTTGACTGGGGAACGGGTACGGGGCGGGGAATACTCGGTTTTTTAAATGGATAATGATGCGGTTATGGTTCTATACTAATCTGCCCTGTTATCGGCCCCGAAATCGCCCCGTTCACTAATGGTGCGTGTACCCGCACCGTTACCCGATCCGTAACATTATTAATAAATTATAACTCTTTATATATAAGAATAATAAGTATATATACTAAATTGTGTACACTAAATCATATACTATCCTCCGTTCCATAAAAGTTGCAACACTTTGACTTTCACGTTTGCCAACGCACAACTTTGACTGTAATTATATTTATTTACGTATCAGTAAACATTAAAAAAAGTTAATATATTGGAAATTTACATTAATACAAATTTATTAATATTTTATACATAATATTTTTATTATATATATTATTAGAAAATCGTAGTCAAAGTAAGGTGTGTGAATAGTGTAGAAATTCCAATGTTGCAACTTTTATGGAACGGAGGAAGTATATCATATAAGTATATAAATAATATTACACCAGAGGCCCACTTTAAAACCCCTAACATCCCTAACTCAGAGTCTATCACGGAATACAGATTTACGACTCAGGGCTCTGCTTCTTATGGTGAGAACAACTCTCTTCGATTCTTCTAGATGGAATGACGTTAGGCCTTCAGTTCGGCTCTACCATCGGTGGCTTCTAATCTCTCTCATTGTCAAGGAATCTACCAAGTTCCTTCTTTCTTCTATTTTCGGAATCACTCTGGTCAAAGGTAAGTTTTCTTGTGGTTAATACAGAGTGGGTATATTATAGTTTGGTGAGTTTGCTCGATGCTTATCTTGTGATTAATACATAGTGTGTATTAAAGTTTAGTGAGTTTGCTCGATGCCTAATTTTGTACTCCCTACGTCCCCTTAATATTGGTATGGAAGGGAGTGATGTGGTTTTTAAGAAAAGTATAATTATGTGGTTGGTAATGAATTGATAAAGTGGAAATAAAGTAAGAATGAATTAGAGTCACACAAATGTTACCAAATATGGTATGGGACAATAATAAAGGGACATTCAAAAATGGAAAAATGGGACAATTATAGGGGGCGAAGAGAGTAGGTTTTTACATCATTAAGATTTAGCAAAATTGGATACAGAATGGGTACGGTTTATACGAAATGGGATGCAAATTGAAAAAAAAAATTAGGACTTTGAATATATAATTTACTATGAAGGATGTTTACATTAGGATTAGAAATTGGTTATTTAAGAGCAATTGGGGAAACGGTTACCCGTGGATAAACCGATTCCCCATTGGGGCGGGGAACGGTTCAAATAAAATTACCCGAACAGGTAATGTGACAGTTTCAGAGCAACCATTTATCCAATGGGACGATTTCAATTTTATGTGTACCCGTCCCCGATCCACCTCGTTGCCATACTCGTTGGGAAGCCCTTACGCCATGTGAGAAGTTACTCGATCACGTGAAATGGAGGGTGAGAGGGCACGTTTCAGCTAGGGATGGAGCACTACGCAATGTGTGGGCACGTGGTCATAGTCCACGCAGGCATCCACGCAGCACAATTGTCTAGCTCTTTTTGAAGAAAATTCCACTGTGGTAGGGTTTGCTGAGACACCTCAAGTACGGTCTCTATTTATTTATGCGCTATCATGTCAAATCATTATTTGATAAAAAAAAAATGTTTGGTGTATACGGAGTTGTACGCTTTTAACACAGTTATCTTTTTGCATAGACAGATAAATATGCCAAAACTGATTTAACATCGATCTCAATCAATTTAGGTACATGAGTTGTACACAAACTTGTACACAAAACCCCCCTAATTGCTTGTGTACACAGGTAATTCGTTTAGAAAAGAACAGAATTTGATACTCAATTGCCTGTGTACACGAGCAATGTACACATTTTGTGTACATCTTGTGTACACCAAGAATGACCCATCAATTTATAACGTGTATAAAATGACAATTTTAATAATTGAAAGTAAATATATCTTCACAACATATTACTCTCTTCATCCCACTGAGATAAAATGGAGTGACATGCAAATCAATAAAAAATGGGTTGCATGATTGATTTTGAATTGATAAAATAAAAATAAAGTAAGAATGATTTATAATCACAAAACTTTACCAAATTTGACATGAGACAATCTTAGTGGAACGGACCGAAAAGGTAAGATAGAGTCAATCTTATTGAACCACTACACAAACCTTAAATTCAAATGCCAAGAAGCTAAACCTAGCTTGATGATATATAAAATTACAAACTGAATAAAACGTAGTTCATTTTGAATTTATTTTGAATTAAAAGTTTCTGTAATTTATTTGACTTTGGTTATTAATTCTCTATTAAATTCATAAAAGCACCTTTTGTTAATTTATAGCAAAAATAAGGGAAAATTCCCGAAATAGGACCAAAATAGTTTCAAAATTTCAAAATAGGATTGTCATGTTTTTTATTCCCAAAATAGGACTAATTATTGTCGTGTTTAGAAAATACTGACATGTTTGAATTTTGGTACTGCCAAAACATGACAGTAATTAGTCCTTTTTTGGGAATAAAAATATATCAGTCCTGTTTTAGAATTTTCAAACAGCTTAGTCCTATTTCAGGTAATATCTCCAAAAATAAAGATCGTATTAAAACCAATAAATTTAATTCAATTACGTTCGGACTTCGGAGTACTTTTATAGAAACTTTTTCAAGAAAATCGACGGAATGTATGTTCAACAACTTATTGCCTTCAGAGGTAATGAAATTTACACCAGGAATACGCGTGAATATGTGATGGAATGTAGTTTTATTTATATTATATATGTATGTGTATATAATATAAATATGGTAGCTGATGGAGTTTAATTCAAGTACGAGAGCTAAATCTACTAGAGATATCAAAAGGAGATTTCAACAAGTAGGACCTAATCATACCAATTTTCCGAAATTAAGATTACAGATTAGCGTAAGACTTAAATGCACCTCCTTTGACCAAATTGCTCTTGCTTTTAAATTGTGTAGCAGACCACGTCTGATCCAACCTAAATTACCAACGCAATTCCTCTCCGCCACTTCCCCAATTCTCCTCAAATTCCCTAAATTGGTTTGACGCAATTCTTCTCCCTCACTTTCCCAATTCTCCTCAAATTCCCTAAACTGCTGCTGCAAGCAGAAGCTCCCGGACTCCGTCGTATAGACTTTGGCACTCCGGCATCAGACCTCCACTCCTGCTAGACTCCTTATCAGACATCTGCTGGCTAGAATCCGCCATCAGACCTCCCTCATCGAACCTAATCCACCGGACCTTGCTATCATACTTCCGAATTCCATAACAAAACCTTTACCACTGGTCCCCAACTCCCCATCATCAGACCTCCCTCATCGCACCTCACCACCGGACATCCGTTGTCATATTTCCGGCGATCGCCACCGCTGGACGGCTATATATCTGCTTCTACGCGTTTGGGATTGCAATTTTTTGAAGAATGAGCTGCTGAGGTGGTGTCCGGTTCAGATTATTCTTAAAATCTTGATCTATCCCAGACAGGGAGTCTTTGCTCAGACAAAATTTGTTTACTTCTAACCAATTTCTATATTTTGATTTCTAAAGTTCCAATGTGATGCAAGCGGGGTTTCGGTGAAATGGAGGATCAATGACACCATTCTTTGGGAACTTGCAAATACATAGACAAGTAGTCATTATACAGACACTAAGTTCTGATAATAGCTTTATAGCAGACAATACATAGACAATATATAGTCATTAAACAGACAATAAGTTCTGATAATAGCTCAATAGCAGAGCAGGTAAAAATGTGAAGGGTAAAAAAAGAAGACAAGAATAAGGTTTCCTAAAACGGTGCAAAATAGATCCTACGCATGGAAAAAACACAACTCAGTCCTATTTTTGTAAAGTTCCTTTGATTTGATCCTATGGAGAGCAGTTTTCTCGATATCAAAATATGACGGCGTAAGGCAGTATTATTATCATTCGGAAGAACGATTTACTGATCCCCTCCTAGAGTATTTACAAGAAGTATTTATAGACTTTAGGAGTTAGTATTCTAAGAGGAAACTACTATATTAAATGCTATTAATCATACATTAGTTCGAATAGAACTCCTGTAGCGTCTCGGCCATTGTGCATTGATTATCTCCTTCAAATCTACGTTTCCTGTTGATTCCTACCCGCTGCCAAATAGCTATGCTCAAATGATAACCCACCACGTAAACCCTAGGAATATCCCAACCTCACTAGAACTCCACCCAAGCTCGTGGTCTGCTGTCCAGCCCGGCCTGTTGTGGGTTCCTATCGCGGGCCTGATCCCTAAGCAAGCCTAGTGGCTTATTCAATATGAATCCCATTCAAGGCTTGATCCCGTTTATGGGCTAATCTCGTTAAGGGCTGGTCCCGTTATGGGATGGACTACGTAATTGGGCCATGGTCAGAATCCATGGTACCATCACGAGCCCCCTACTCTCCAAAATCAGCAGGATTGGATTTTGGGAGAATAAATTGAGCAGTTTAACCAGTTTCAAATTTCAAATCTTTCTAGGTGGACTGTAGCGCTGCTTCACATTAAATGCAAGCAACACGTGCTCGACGCAAGCCTGCAGCCCAGCATAGCTCCCAATCCGCCACTCTACCTTCAGTACTCGAGTGCTATGATTATGGTTCCCAAGCGGTTTTGGGGCAATTCGCAAGCCCTAATTATTAGGTTATATAAACGTTCACCACTCCTTCGCATAACTCGTTCGCAATTCCGCTCTTGCATTAGCACTTCGCCTTCGTTTTTGGGAACCCTAGGCAAATGTCCAGATGAAGAGAAAATATTTTCCTTCATTTCTTTCATTCTGTCTAGCCTGGCGGTTCTGAGTACCCAGGGTTATCTGTCAATTTCCCAACGGGCCGGTCATCGTTTATTTGAGGCCAAATCTTACCCTGACTCCTTCAATGGTGGAGGCAGAAGTGGGTCTGGGTTACCCCAGTGAACGGCAGACTGCAGTTTGAAAACAAATGGGGGAGATGATTCGGAAGTGGGCGATGCCTTTTCTGTCAGAGAGAAATGCCGAGGCTGCCAAGATGATCGCTGACGGTGCACCATTTCTGATGGGCCACTACGTAGGTGAGGACGGAGTAGTAATGCTCACATTCTTGCCAGGTCGGCTATGCCTGATTTGGCAATTTAATCTTGCCACTTCGTATATTTGTGTTGTCCTGATAGTTGTGTTTTATTCTGTACACAAGGGGAAC